TAGGATCTGACTCTGGGGCTTGCTTCAACTGGATCTGGCTACCTCTTCAGGGGGTTGTGCCTTAAAAACAGTTGCCTGCATAGAGCCTGAAATCCTTCCAATAAGATACTCAAGATAACAAGCTCCTTGTTTTTGAAGTACACAGAACTGAGAGTGACTTCCATCTCCCTATTGTGCAATGATGAGGTTGGATCAGATTAGCATTTCTCATACTGTGGTCCTACACCATCTGTACCAGAACCCACCAGGGGCTTACTAATGTTGATTTCTGGGTCCTACTCAGAAATACTGTGATTAGACTAAGAGGAAAAGCCTGGGAAGTCCCACATTTAGCCACTTCCTCAGGTGATTCTGATGTGGTTTGAGAACCACTGAGCTGTTATGGCTACTCATACTGCCTATTTATTCACACCTTGGGCTGAACAAGTTCAATCCATCCATTTTCTTCCAGCCTCTTGATTGAGGTCTGCTGGATGGAGAAAATGAGAATTTGGGAGTGGCCGGGCTGGGGGAGGTATGTGATTTTTGAACTGGAATACACTGGGAGATAGGGCAGGGCTTGGTTAAGGGTTGGGGGCTGCAGTTGGTAGAGAAATCTTTCTTCTTTTCTTTGCTTTTGTCCCAGAATGCCTGTTCTACCTGTTCTCCTTGGGAAAGTGCTACAAGATGGTGGGACTGGTTTTTGTGAGCTGGCCTGGGACTGCACCCCTATGGTGACCAGAGCTCATATGGAAAAGCTCCCTGCAGGCTCCTAACAGCTGACTTTCAAAGTGAACTCCTGAACAGTCTTTAGAGACTCCAACTGCCCTTGGACATGGCAGGAATGGGGTTGAGGGGAGGTCAAAAGTGGGGCTAGGGGGATACCTGCAGTGTGCTCCAACCCAAACTTCCCTTCTATAGGATTGGGTCTGCCAAGTCTATAGAAACAGATGAGAGGACCCCTGCCTTACCCTACAAGCTCAAAATCCCACAGAGAACAGGTCACTCACCTGTGGGTGGGCCAAAGGGAAGATTATGAGCTGGGCAGGGTGGCCTGGGGATGTGCTGCTCTGGAGCAAACATTCACCTGAGTGAGGTTGTTTGACTTCATCATCAGCATGGCTGGCACCAAGAACAGCTTTGAGTACCCTAAGGCCTGAGTCTCATTTATCCTCACATGGCTTTTTTATTAACAAAGAAGATCTCTTGGGGTGGGGATGACATGCTCCAGAGAGCAGTCAAAAGGTAAAAGATGGCATTTACAAAAATCCATTCTTTTCTCTCTCCACTTCACTGCTCTATTGACTGTTTTCCTGTTCAATCAAATCCTATTCACAGCTACACATCCCATTTCAGGAACTGCCAAGGCGATAAATCTCCTGTCCTTTCTTCGCTGTGCTTGCTGCCTCCCACCTTTTCTCCTCTTCCCTATCCTGGAAGGCCTGGGGTCCTCTTTGGTTGGGCCCCTCATGTCCAGGAAATGTTCATTCAGTTTTCAGTGCATGGGACAAGCCAATTGCTTGGCTCTTTTCTTCTCCTCTTCCTTTTCCCCATGACTCTTTCTAATCTCAAAGACACCAACCCAGGCCACTTGCCTTTCTCCCTCTATGGGTTAGCTGTGTTGCATCTAGTTCAGAATTGTGGCCAGGTCAGCCCTACTCTAAAGTCATGATCTCTCCTCCTTCCCTCCCTCCCTCCCTCCTCTTTCTTTTTCTTCTTTGTTGTTTTTTAAATGAGGTTTCACTATATTGCCCAGGGTGGTCTCAAACTCTTGGGGATCCTTCCACCTCGGTCTCCTAGTGTTGGGATTATAAACGTGACCACCACGCCCGGCCCCTTTGTCATTTTCCTGTGTGTCATGGCACCAACCTTCTGAGGGACTGAGGGACTGTGGGCTGGTGATACAGGCTGTCTGTAGAGGAAGGAAGAGGAATTGCACAGAGCACTCTGGGCAGTAGGAACAGGACAGAAGCCCGCACTGTCAAACGCCCTGTCTAATGCCCTGTCTACTGTTTATTTGACTACCTTGACTCTGGCTTCTTTTCTCCTGTTTATTCCCTCAATCTTGTTCATGAAGCTTTAATGAGCAAATCCCCTTTGCAAGGCACCATGCTAGGCTAGAAACACAGGAGGGACACCAGGGTCTGACCACAGAGGGTAAGAGCCTTTGTTTATTGGCTGACATCCTTTCTGTGTTCAGTAACAATGCCTCCCATGCAGAGTGGATACATTTAGTTTTACCTTTAGCAGATCTAGAGCAAATTTGCTTTTGGATGATTGAAATTTATTCTATTCCTTCAACATTTAATCACAAAGTATTGGGGTGATATAAAGTAGTCCAGCTGATTCAATAATGTGCTTGCCCTGAGCTAGTGGACAGTGTATAAGCTAGACCACTCTCCAGAAGGGATGTTATAGACCAATTCAGTACTCAGGTGCCTTTTCCTGCAATTTATTCTTCCCTGAGGATAAATTATTCACCATCTCCATTATCATCACTACTATTTGTTAAAGGCTCATTTTATGCCAAGTACTGTATTTGATCATATTTCTTCTTATCGGATCTTTACAATAATCCTGTGAAGTTGGCTCTGTTAGTATTCTCATTTTGGAGCTGGAGAAATTCAGGTCCAAGAGATTTAGCACTTGCCCAAAGCCACAAAGTCAGTAAGAAGAAGCAGAGCTCAGACTGAAACCTAGTCTGTCTGTCCATGGGGTACTGAGGCTCCAACATAACATGTGGGCCAAGGAGCAGAGCCAAGCACCTCTTAGGTGCATTTCTTAGCATCGGGCCTGGCACCTGTTCTCGGTGACACACAAGCTACTTCTTTGCCTCAGAGAGTAACAGCTTCTATGGTTCAACAGCACCAGAGTCCCACTGTTTTAGGTGGTTTCAGCTGGGTGGGGCAGTGTAGTCCCTGATTCTGAGCTGAGTGGCACAGAGTTCGTTGTACTTGGTTCTTGGAGAAACGCATGTTACCTTAATGGGTGATTTCTTCAGAAGAGTAAGATGAGGCCCTGCCACAACCTGGAAATTGCTCAGGGAGTCTGGGTGGCAAGGCTCAGAGCCATTTCTACTAGCTGGAAAACTGACATTCCAGGCCACTCAGAGCTTCCTGGGGACAAGTGTCAGGAAGTGCTTAGCTACATTGATCCTGGCTATTGTGCTGTGATTTCACAAGGCTGAAACCTTATCTTCCTTTCAAGATTCTGGGCAAGAGCTTGGTGAAGGCAAGGTGAAATTCTGGAGCTGAGTGGGTCTGGGGCAGGACATGGACTGGAAACACTTTGGTGTTTCATGCACTTTATGTAAACAGCCTTATTTATCCATGAGGGTATTTACGATTAAGGTGGGAAATCTTATTTTCATTTTACAGACGAGGACACAGAGGCTCAGATAAATCAAGTGACTTGGCTTAAGGTCACCAGCCCACATATGCCTGTGTTAGAATGTATATTCAGGTCTTCCAGACTCTTCCACTAGACCCTTCTCAGCATTACTGATGGCTGGCCCTCCAGGAGACCACCTGGCATCCTTCCCCACCCCCACCCCAGGGGAGGAGCTTTGGGTCTTTGCAGACATAGGCTCAGAGAGCTCCATTACTACCTTCACGGTTGGCGGGAGTGCATGTCATTGTGTTAGTCGGCCTGCTTGGCCTCCTGGAACACCCCCAGCAGCTACTTCTGTACCCTAATTTCAGTGTCTTGCCTCATGCTCAGGCTGCATGCCTCCTGCCTCTCTCACATGAGCCTTCCTTCCTGCTGCAGAGGCACATGATGCTGCAGGACTTGCTGGATCCCATGCACAGGACCTCGCTTGCCCAGCCAGGCATGGAGAGCTGTGGCCTGCAACTGCTCACAGACCTTCCGCCATGCTGGGTGGATATGGCTTCCCCAGGGCTGCCCTGGAAGTGTAGGTGAATTAATGTCCTATGGAGTGACTAATGAGAGAAAGCAGATGGGACCGATCTGAATGATAAATTCTCTATTTCTCAGGCTGATGGGCTATTCTGAGATGTGGTAATTCCAGACAGTCCCCTTGGAGAGGTCCATCATGCCCAGGCTATGTATTCCGATGGATGGTGGCCAGGGCAGCTGCCTGTATTTGCTTTCCCCATCCTCACTTCACACGTCTCATGCAGCAACACTCTGTACTTGCTTCCCCTCTTCCCATTCTTCACGTTCCTTTTTCCTTCAGTCTTATTTCCCTTAGATCACACTCCCTTGCTCTAATAAAGTGTTAGCATGCAACTTTTACCCAAAGTTCTGTTTTCTAGGTAACCTAGGCTAAGACAATAATAATAGTAATACTATTTTTTTTATCATGTATTGAGAATTTTCTGTGTGAGTTACATTATCTCACTGAATCACTGCACCATCCATATGAAGCAGGTATTATTACCACCATTTTTAAAATGAGAAAATGAAGTCTCAAAGATGTTAACCCATTTCCTGTCTGCCCCAAGAATACTCGCCAGCATGCTTGATGCTGCACCATTTACCCTGGGATAACTTGTGGATTGCGGTCTTAACTTTATACCAAAGCTTACCATGAAATATCTCGCTTCTATTATTTTCACTCACTCTAGTATATCAACTTTGGAAACCAAAGACAACATTCTATTAACGGCATTCTGTTTTTAGTAGTGGTCTTTCCATTTACGAAATACAGTAATTCCTGAGTGCTGAAAATGTCAAATCCTAGAAAACATATCATTCCTACACGTTTTATATATATATATATATATATATATATATATATATATATATACATACACATTCTAAATGGGAACATGCCCTTGGTCACATGGAATGTAAGCGGACAAAGTGAGGATTTAACTCAGCTCTTCTGTTCTTCCACTCCAGAACTTGAACTCTAAGACACCCTTGAATAAAGTTGCCTTTAACCTTGAGAAATAGCAAGAAAACCTCAGTCTCTACAAAAAGGCACCTTTAGGAGACTCCCAAGGATTCCCAGGAAGCCCAGGGAGACCCTCAGGTGAAAGCCCTTCCATACTTACGTTGTAAACGCGGGGTTGTATTTGGCACCTCGGTAGTAAGAGTACAGGTTGAACATCCCAATCATGAAGGCCACAAATACCATGATGAAAATGACCATGAACTTGAAGATATCTTTCACAGTTCTCCCTAGGGAGATCTGCAGGGGCCCAAAACTCTCGTTGGCTGGCAGGATGTATGCAATGCGAGAGAAGCTCAGCACGACGGCGATCGCATACAGCCCTTCTGATATGATCTGAGGGTCTGAAGGCCACCACTTGTCCCTGGCTAAAAGAAAACAATCTGGGTTACTTACTGGGGCACAGGATCTACTCTGGAAGAGAAACCAGTTAGACATCTTTAGAGGTCTCCAGCCGCATCATTTGCCATTCTTGCCCTTGTCCTTAAATTAATCCCAATACCCAGAAGTTGCCAGCTTCCCTCTTGGAATGTGTTGAACCATCTGCCTGGAACACTCTAATCTCACTTTGAAGTATGATTCATTCCTAATCCTCCTCCAAGATCCTGCTCAGGCGTCACCTCTTTCAGGAAGCCTTCTGTGATCCCGCCCTCTCCACACCACCATGGGCTGGGCAGGTTCCCAGTTTCTGTCTGTGCTCTCATGGTATCCTGTGCACCCCCCACGTCTTGGCACTTACCAGGCCACTTGCTGTTCTGTCTCTCTCATGAGTGTTTAGCTCCATGCTCAGGAGCTGTCACACTCACTGGGGAGGCAGCACGAGGAGAGAGAGGGGCAAGAGCATGGACTTGGAGTCAGACAGCCCTGAGGCTGAATGTGGTCCATGCACTTACTGGCCATAAGACTCTGAGAGACAACTATCTTTTGAGCTTTATTTCCGTCATCTCTAAATTATGGATAATATCTATTTCACGGGACTGTGGAGAGGATGAAATAAAATCATACATGTAAAGTGCTCAGCACAGGGTCTGGTACATAGCAAGTACTGATAAATATTTGTCACATGATTGAATAAGCTTTTAACCACAAGTTTACACCACAGGTCAGAACAAATGAGCTCACATGGGGACCAGGAATTGAAAGGATCTTGCCTGAGAAAATACCCTTGGGTTTTGCTTCCTAGGTACTGTGTGCGGGGATATTTGCTCCCTGATTATGCTAAGGCCCCCAAAGTGGTGACCAGTCAGGCAAATTTGTCACGACAGCCCTGTTCCAGGTAGGCAAGGGTCCTAGGACTGATCCTGAGCTAGGAAGGCTCTGCTTGTGGTCACTATGAACACAAGGGCCTGAACTGCCCAATGAGTATTTCTGCAGCAGAGCAAACCTGCAAAGTGTTCCTATTGCAGTTCTAATGGTACAAGGAGCAGCATCTATCATGAATCAGCTGTCTATTAGATGTCAGTGATTCTCAAGCAAGGGCAGCACTTCTCTCGTGGAAAATGTGTGGAGGTGTCTCTGGTTGTCGCAGTGACTGAACAGGAGTACTACTGGGATGCTAATGTCCTGCAATGCCCCAGACAGATTGTGCCATAAAAACTGTGCTGCTGGAAAAGCTAATAGGGGCCCATTGAGAAATGCGGAGTGAAACGTTAATTGAGAAACATTGAGAAACCTAAATTAGCACTTACACTTGCATTAGCTGTAATTTTCACAACAGCCCTGTAGAGTAGATATCATTATTGCCATTTTTAAGATTGGATTTAGGGTATGGGGTCCTTTTCAGAACCTGGTAAATGCAGATAGCAAGGATATTACATAGCAATTCTTGGCATTCCAAGGGAGATTGAAGAGGAAGGCTTTTACTCTTTATTTGCAAAACTAGACTCTGTTAAATAATTATAATAATAGAGAGCAGTAAGAAACCTTTAGTAAAGGAAGCCAGGCCACAAAGTTTCATGGAATGATTCTAAATTGCATTCGTAAATATAATAACATTATAGACTCTATGTTCTCATCAAGGTCATACCTCAAAAATCCATGAAAGACTAGTAAGCAGAATAAATTATGTGTTTTCCAATATATCTGTCATCTTTTATGGATAAATAACATATTTGAATAACATACAATAAGACATAACTTCTCCTGTTAAACAGAAGCCAAAAACGAGTTATTTTTTCTGCAGCCTCTAGCTTACCATCTTAAACCTCAGTCACAATAACAAGACACTCTTATAATCTACTCAGATAGATTTAGCTGTTGTCAGATCCTGGTGACCAGGTCAGGACTTTTATTGAAAAATATTATATTTGGACTGACTTGTAAAGAGTTGTGATGAGTGTAAAGTGAACAGCACTGTGATGATTTAGACAATGCTGTTTTCTTCTTAGAGCTATTTCCACGAGAAAAAATTGCTCTATCACAACCTGGAAAATTGGTATCTGCCTATTTGCTGTAGAGGTTGGAAGGAGCCACTGTCCAGCTGGCCACAAGAGGGCTCTCTTGCCCCGTAACTGGAGCACAAGTGAAGCCAGAAATCCGAAGGATTTCCAAGGGCACAGGGTGAACCACAAAAACAAGAGCAGTAATGTGCTATGCATTGGGTTGGGTGAGACCTTAATACAACCCAGAAAGCAACGGAAGTCAGAAGTGGACAATACTGCAGTCTGAATCATGGTATTAAGAAAAGTATGCAATGTAGTATCAATATTCTCTCATCTTTCCTTGATGAACCCTGAGCAAAACAGAGGGCACAATATCCAAGGTATTTTGCTTTAAGAAAGTCTGAATTTGCCAAACCCCAAAATGGCAGGGGGTGGGTGGATGGATGATTTGTAATACTACAAGACCCTCCATGGGGATTTCTCAGTGGGGATTTCTCTACCACATTTACATGTAACAATCTACGATGAAAATGGGCAGTTAACCAACTTTTGTGTTAAGTGAACAGTCCTCTGCAGATCATTGTTGTATTTGACCACAGAATCATTGTTTTATCTTACCACAAAGATTCTGTGGTCCCAGAGCCATCTGGCTTCATGTAACAGGGACATTCAACACTCAATCCCTTCAAGTTGTTGCAGCTGCCATTAACAAATGCCTACTAAGTGTCCGGCTGCTTTTTACTGTTAACAAGTATCTACCTTTCCTTCAACTTCAACATCTTTCTGTTTCAGTACAGAAATTAAAGTTTTTGAGCAAGAAATGACCCAAAAGGTAGTAGTAAGACATAACTTCTATTAAAATAAGTAAGCAGATAACTGCTACCATTAAATGGACAGTTACTATTTTCAGAGCAGAGTGCAAAGCACTTCACATATGCTATTTTATTCAACCCTCAAAGCAAACCCTTTTGACATAGATATTATTACCGCTGTTTTACATATGAGAAATGGAAGCTTAGAAAAGTTAAGTAAACAAGATCTCACAGTAAACTACCGAACTAGGGTTTGAATCCAGGTCTCTTCTACTCCAAAGCTTGGGTACATAATTTCTTTGCCATTCAGCATGATTTTCAAATCATGTCAGGCCAGGATTTCCTGCTATACAAGGCAATCCTGTATTTCTGGAAACGTTATAAGCCCTGCCATAAAAACTTGATTCTTCATGTTTAAAATAGGGACAAAAGAAGGACCCCTTTTTGCAGGGCTATTTGCAAGGATTAAAATTGTGTGTATAAAATGTCTACACAGTTTCTGGGATATAGTAAGTTCTCAATAAATATATATTATAACTGCTATTATTATTCCTAAAGCCTCAATCTACTATCTCAAACTATTAGGCCTTGTAGTTTGCAAGAATTAAGATATCTCCTAAGAATCTATCTTGCCGCGAAGCAATAACTGGGAAACCAGAATTTATTTTTGCACAAAGCACAGGGATGCAACATAGGAGGAAAATTCTTCCGCATATACGTATCCCTTTAGTGCTCCTGGATGCACATCAGAAACAAGACGTTTCCTAAAAACAAACAAGCTACAGAAATGTTCCCAAGGGCCTTTCAGAAACAAACTCATCCTTCACACAGAAAGATTCATTTCTCAAAGTCACTAATTCCACCTTCTATTCAGCTGGCTACACTTCCGGGACCAGGGCTTTTTTTCAGGTGGAGAGGGTGCTCTGCACTGACAGTGGAGCTGCCAAAGTCGGCCGCGTCACAAATCATGGGCCACATGATTACAAATTACATTACAAATTCACCAGCCACGGTGAAGCGCCAGGGCCATGTCCCAGAAGTGCCAGAATGGAGCAGGGGAAAGCACGCCTGCGACTCACCGTAGGTGAAGTAGGCTACTTCCGGCGGAAGCGAGACGTTGTGCAGCGTGTCATCCTGCACGTGCTGGTCCACGTACAGCTGTGCCTCGCTGGCCTTCAGGAAGGCCATGAAGCGTGCTGTGAAGGAGGCCACAAAGATGGACAGCATCCCGAAATCTAGCAGGTTCCAAAGGTGCAGCACGTACTCCCGCGGCCCCTCCTCCCAGATTTCCTTGCATTCAGACCAAATCATTCCTGCGGGAGAAGGAGACGGCCGGGCTCATTTTTCGGCTCTCTTGGCATTTGTGACCACCATGAGTTCATGGAGGGAAGCAGAGTATAACTGGAGCTGGGACCATCGATAGCCAGAGGCAGACAGAAACATGTCTTCAAAGACAGGTTTAGACTCAGGAGACCCTGAGACTTGGCCCCGCGCTTACAAACACACCGTCTCTGGAAGTGAGGAGAGAGTTCTCATTCATTGATAGATTTTTGGAGGGAATATAGGAGAAATGCAGTTGTAGACACTTATACACTTTAAGAGCTGGGAGTCCTTAAGGAATCAATCTGTCCTAAATTAAATATAGGGAAACTGAGGTCCAGGAATTGTAAAGGGCTTTCTGAAGGTCCCCCCACATCCTCAGATTCTACAGAAATTCCCCAAGAACCTAGAACTATGGTTTATTTTGGACATAGAACCCAGTTTTTTTTTTTTTAAGTCCCAGATTAGAATGCTTCTGTATTTTTGCGACATGAACATTAATTTGAGGTTATTAGATTTTTTCTTTTTCTTTTCTTTTCATTTTTTTTTTCTTTTTGAGATGGGTTCTCACTCTTGTTACCCAGGCTGGAGTGCAATGGTGTGATCTCAGCTCACTGCAACCTCTGCCTCCTGTGTTCAAGAGATTCTCCTACCTCAGCTTCTCGAGTTGCTGGGATTACATGCACACGCCACTATGCCCAGCTAATTTTTTGTATTTTTAGGAGAGACGGGGTTTCACTATGTTGGCCAGGCTGGTCTCGAACTCCTGATCTCAGACGATCCACCTGCCTCAGCCTCCCAAAGTGTTGGGATTACAGGCGGAGCCACCGGCGCCCTGCCATTAGATTTATGTTTACTCTTTCATAACTTATTGGATTTTAAAGACGTGTCCTCATTGTTACATATTCAACAATGTAGAAGTATATAAACAAAATATTACTAGTTCCCCCAGCCTTCCTCTAAGCCAGCAGCCCATTTGGCACCAGGGATGGATTTCATGGAAGACAATTTAACACAGGGTGGGACGGGAGTAGGGGTAAGGAGTGGGATAGTTTCCAGATGAAACAGTTCCACCTCAGATAATCAGCCATGAGATTCTCATAGGATGGCAACCCAGATCCCTCACATGCATAGTTCACAATAGGGTTCAGGCTCCTATGAGAATGTCATGCCACTGCTGATCTGACATGAGGCAGAGCTCAGGCAGTACTGTTGGCTTGCCTACCACTCAGTTCCTGCTGAGCAGCTCAGCTAACAAGCCACGGACTGGTACCAGTTGGTGGCCCAGGGGCTGGGGACCCCTGCTGTAAGCCATCTCTGTGAGGTGGCCTGAGCTAATAGTTGATGAGTATCCTTCTAGCCCTGCACTGTCCAATATCATAGCCACCAGTCACATGTGGATACTGAGCACTTGAAATGTGTCTAGTCCAGTTTGAGAGGTGTTGTAAGATGTACACCAGATTTCAAACACTTATTATGAAAAAAGAATGCAAGGCTGGACGCCGGTGGCTCATACGTGTAATGCCAGCACTTTGAGAGGCTGAGATCGGCGGACCATGAGGTCAAGAGATTGAGACCATCCTGGCCAACATGGTGAAACCCCGTCTCTACTAAAAATACAAAAATTAGCTGGGCATGGTGGCATGCACCTGTAGTCCCAGCTATTCAGGAGACTGGGGCAGGAGAATTGCTTGAACCCAGGAGGCAGAGGTTGCAGTGAGCAGAGATGGCACCACTGAACTCCAGCCTGGTGACCGGGTGAGACTTTGTCTCGGAAAAAAAAAAAGAATGTAAAGCATCTCATCAATAATATTTTGCATCAATTACATGTTGCAGTGATAATATTTTGGATATGATAGGTTAAGTAAACCATATTATTGATTAATTTCACCTATTTGTCTTTATAATATGGCTTTTAGAAAATTTAAAATTATCTATATGGCTTAAGGTTGTTGCTTGCACTATATTTCTATTGAATAATGCTGTTCAATACCTTTAGATTTACTGATTACTAAATAATTACTAATACTATTTAAATTATTTTAAACTACAGGCATAGGTTACTTTATTGCACTTGCTTTATTATGCTTCACAGATACTGTGGGGTTTTCTTTTCAAATTAAAGTTTTGAGTTTGTGGCAACCTTGTGTTGAGAAAGTCTATTGGTGCCATTTTTCCAATAACGTGCTCACTTTGTGTCTCTATGTCACATTTTGGTAATTCTCACCTTATTTCAAACCTTTTCTTTATTATATTCACTATGGTGATCTGTGATCAGTGATCTTTGATGTTATTATTGTAACTGTTTGGAGGTATCATGAAACACTCCCATATAAGACGGTGAACTTAATCAATAAACATTTTGTGTGTTCTGATTGCTCCACTGACCTGCTATTTCCCTGTCTGTCTCCCTCCCCTTGGGCCTCCCTATTCCCAGTATTTTAACAGTATTAGTATTAGGCTAATTAATAATCCTACAGTGGTTTCTAAGCTTTTAAATGAGAGGAAGTGTTGCACATTTCTCACTTTAAATCAAAAGCTAGAAATGATTAAGGTTAGTGAGGAAGATGTGTCAAAAGCTGAGATATGCCAAAAGCTAGGCCTCTTGTGCCAAACAGCTAAGTTCTGAATGCAAAGAACAAGTTACTGAAGGAATTTAAAAGTACTACTCCAGTGAATTCACAAGTGATTGATTAAACCAGCTACAGTGTTTCCTTAAGCCAATGCCTAAACCAGAGGAAGACCCTCACTCTTTTTAATTCTGTGAAGTGTGAGAGAGGTGAGGAAGCTGCCAAAGAAAAGTGTGAAGCTAGCAGAGGCTGGTTTATAAGGTTTAAGGAAAGAAGCCATTTCCATAACATAAAAGTATAAGATGAAGCACCAAGTGCCAATGTAGAAGCTGCAACAAGTTACCAGAGGATCTAGCTAAGATAATTGATAACAGTGGCTACAGTACCAAAGATTTTTAAATGTAGATTAAACAGCTTTATCTTGAAAGAAGATGCCATTTAGAACTTCCAGAGCTATAGAGTAGACATCAGTGCTTGGTTTCAAAGCTTCAGAGGACAGGCTGACTCTCATGTTAGGGATTAATGTAGCTGGTAACTTTAAGTTGAAGCCAATGTTCATGTACCATTCCAAAAATCCTAGTGCCCTTAAGAATGATGCTAAATCTTCTCTCTCTCTCTCTCTTTTTTTTTTTGTTTTTTTGAGATGGAGTCTCACTTTGTTGCCAGACTGGAGTGCAATGGCCCGATCTTGGTTGCCTACAACCTCCAGCACTGGGGTTCAAGTGATTCTCCTGCCTCAGCCTCCTGAGTAGATGGGACTACTGGCACATGCCACCATGCCCAGCTAATGCTTGTATTTTTAGTAGAGACAGGGTTTCACCATATTGGCCAGGATGGTCTTGATCTCTTGACCTCGTGATCCACGCACCTCAGCCTCCCAAAGTGCTGGGATTACAGGCATGAGCCACCACGTGTGGCTCAAATCTACTCTTCTTGTGCTCTATAAATGAAACAAAAAAGCCTGGATGACAGCATATATGTTTACAGCATGGTTTACTGAATATTTTAAGCCCACTGTTGAGACTTACTGCTCAGAAAAAAAATGTATTTCTTTCACAATATTACTGCTCATGGACAATGCACATGGTCACCCAAGAGCTCTGATTGAGATGTATAGGAGGTTAGCATTGTTCTGATGCTTGTTAATATAGTATCCATTCTGCAGCCCATGGATCAAGAAGTAATTTTAATTTTCATGTCTTATTATTTAACAAATATATTTCATAAGGTCATAGCTGCCCTAAATAATGATTCTTCTGGTGGATCTGGGCAAAGTAAATTGAAAACCTACTGGAAAGGATTTATTATTCTAGATGCTGTTAAGAACATTAGGGAGTCATGGGAGGAGGTCAGAATATCAGCATTAAGTGGAAGAAGTTGATTTCAACCCTCATGGATTACTTTGAGGGTTCAAGACTTGAGCAGAGAAAGTTACTGCAGATGTGATATGGAAATAAGAGAACGAGAACTAGAAGCAGAGCTTGAGATGTGACTAAATTCCTGCAATTTCAGGATAAAACTTCAATGGATGAGAAATTGTTTCTTATGGATGAGCAAACAAAATGGTTTCTTTAGACTCAAATGGTGAAGATGCTGTGAACATTGTTAAAATGATGACAAAGGATTTAGAATATCCTGTAAACTTAGTTGACAAAGCAGCAGCAAGCTTTGAGGGTATTGAGTTTAATTTTGAAAGAAGTTCTACTTTGGGTCAAATGCTATGAAACTGCATCGCATGCTACAGGGAGATCTTTAGTGAAAGGAATAGTTAATTGATGCAGCAAACTTCATTGTCTTATTTTAAGAAATTGCCACGGCCACTTTAACCTTCAACACTCACCCCTCTGATCAGTCAGTGGCGATCAACATTGATGCAAGACCCTCCAACAGCAAAAAGATTATGCCTTGTTGAAGGCTCAGATGACTATTCGCATTTTTTAGCAGTAGAGTAATTTTAAAATTTTGGTACGCACATTTTTTAAGACATGCTGCTATTGCTTAATAGACCACAGTATAGTCTAAATGTAACTTTTCTGTGCCCTGGGAAACCAAAAACTCCTGGGACTTTCTTTATTGTGATACTTGTTTTGTTGTGGTCTGGAACTGAACCTGCAGTATCTTTGAGGTATGCCTGTATTGAAATGTAACGATTCAGTTTCAATTTGAGGATCTACTATGTGCTAGGCACTGTCATATGTATATATGTATTATCTTAAATCTTTGCAACAACGCTATGAAGTACATTCTGTTACTATCCTATTTTTACAGCTGATGAAACAGCAGCACAGATGGTTGCAATGTGCCTTGCTAGAAAGCAGGAGATCTGGAATTTGAACCCAGAAGGTCTGCCCCTAGAGTTCATGTTCTTGACTGCTGTACTCTTCTGGCTCTCCAGGAAATAAAATTAGGTTCAAATCAGTTAA